TTTTTTTTTTTTTTTTTTTTTTTGGACTGTTTAAACGGCAGATGGTCAAATGCCACAGCTGACACACAGCTGGACAGTATTTGTATACACATACATTTAAACAGTTTCTTACTATATTTTGTAAAATTACATAATATTTTCCTCCGTGTATTTTTGGTCTTCTGTTTCTTCCACCTGATAGTTTATTTTTTTATACATATATAAAGAAATACATTATATCATTATTATTATTATTATTATTATTATTATTGTCATTAATAATAATACTATTATCATCATCATTTTATACTAGTATTGCTGTATTTGTGTTGTTTGTGATGTAATGTTACAATAAATTTAGGTGATTAAAGTTATTAGAAGTGACTTCTGTTTTAGGCAGTAAACTGAAACGATTATTTAATTTTCTAAAGCTGCTTAAAGTTTACTCAGTTGAAAAACATGTTGCTAATATTGTGGCTTTTAAGGCATTTCAATATTGCACTTGTGATTATTAAAATATTATACATTGAAGACTAAAAACATGAGTGGATGACGTGTTTTTTGTTTTGTTCTGTGCATGAAGATGTGTGCTATATTTAAATATGTATAATTAGTTAGCAGACGTAAGCCGCGATTTCTTGCTCTGACGGTCTGTTTTCACCAGGCAACGTGTTTTCAACGCAAATCACTGACTTTTGATGCCTTTAGTACATTTCGAACTTTTGGGTGTCATCGCCCGAAATGACAGAACAATAAAGAGAAAAAAACATATGTTGTTAAATTATTGTTATTCTTTAAACTTGTAGCGGGGCATCAAAGTCAGAAGTTATGGGAAAATAGTTGTGTGTTGGTTTTAAATCACTATAGCGTAATATATTGTTTCGATTAAAATTAATTATCGCCAAATCGCCTTTTTTAGTACATCAGCAAAAATAAATTGCTTTTTTTTTAGGTAAATACTATTTTGAAATGATACGTTCGACGATTAAGAGCAGCATTTGAACGCCTCTCGTGACTGCGGGCGGTAACTGCCCTGCGTTCAGCACAGCCCTCTCAGAGCTGCAGAGCTAGTGCAGTCTGTACCACCAGGTACGGCAGCGACCTACCTCTGTCAACACGGCGGCCTTCTCGAGTGCAAAACCCAAAACAGGCAGATTTTAAGAAACCAACACTAGCACGCAGCCATGGCGGCTGAAACCGACAAGGTAGAGCCCGCGGACAGCGAACAAGATGAGGAAGAAGACGTGTACGAAGTGGAAAAGATCATTGACATGCGGGTGGAAGAGGTAAAAATAGCTAAGTGCTACGTAGCCGCCTGGCTAGCTTTGCAAACATGGCTGGCATTTCTTTCAGTCCACTTTCACGAGGCATAGCCCACCAACAACGGTGGAAAGACCCTTTGTGTTAGCAGAATCGCGTTTCTGCAGTGCATTTACATGCACAAAATTGCTTGTGTGTTACTTTACTACATGCGTTTTCTGGTTTTAGTCGTGGGTCGCTGTTCCTCCATACATAGCATCTTTTCCAAGCACAACTTGTCCCATGATGTCCGCTCGGCTCTCCCCTGCTGAGGCCAAGGACGGACCCGTTGCAGGCTTTCACATATTTTCATCGTATTTTGCTAGCTTCAGCGCTACGTCGGCTAAATCCCCGAATAATGCAGGACTCCCAGCGTGTGAGAAGATTGGTGGGATTTGCTGTATGTTAACACTGAATTTACTTACACCAGCTAATAATGGGTGAGCCCTGTGACCGCTGCATTTCTAACTATATAAAGTAGCGGACAAACATGCTTTAGACCCGTGCATACACAGATGACCCCAGCAGCTAACATTTAGCTACATTTGCTGTCTTTCTGGCTTTTTACCTTTTCTTTTTAAGATTGCCGTGAAGTACATGTAATGTCCGTGGTATTAACTTTGGGTGGGGGGTTTCTTTGAGCAGCGAGACAGTACAGGCTTGATTACTGACCAGTTGAGCTCGTGAATCAAATTCTGTGATGTGCACATTGATTGTTGAGGTAGAATGGGAGGTAATACTATCTCTACTAAGATATTTTCAACACATTGCTTTTACACTTTTTGCCGTTGGTCTTTGTGAACTCTGGAGTCTCTCTGGGCTGTACCACCTGCGAAGTAAACACATGCACAGCAAGTTAAGCTGCGGTCCTTCTGAACAGTGCGGAGTGCCCAGTGGAGTGCACGTTTTAGATGCTTTAACTTCATATGTGTACAGTCTGATGCAGCGCTGTCAACATCCCCCTGAAAAGATTGAAAATATTCACACCTTCCTCTGCTTTTTACAGGATTTTGCATCTCTCTTGCTCACGTTCAGTCACTCTTAATACACAAAAGTCAGCTGTGAAACTAGCAGTTTTTTACAACTCTCACACTTTTTGTTTTGCACACTTTCTTTCAGCAAGTTCTCACTGCAACTTTAAATGTTTTGCCTGTGTCTCCTCAGTAAACCTTTTGATATTAGAACTTTAAAGACAGACAGCATCATTCAAAATACCATAATTAACACTAACTAACTAACAGGGCCTGTCAGCCGTGTTTGCTTGTGTCTCAGCTGTCATGTGGAAGTCTTCTGTTTTCTATAGATCTTGTTGGCTCGTAATCTCACTGTCAGGTCAGGTCAGTGGGGCAGGTCATGCTAAGCGCTACATCGCTTTCTTGTTCTCAGGGTGAAGTGCTGTACAGAGTTCGCTGGAAGAACTACTGCTCTGACGATGACACGTGGGAACCGGAGGCCCATTTGGAAGACTGTCGCGAAGTCCTCTTGGCTTTTAAGAAGTCACAGGCTGAAGCTAAGGCCAAGAAAGAGGCAGAAACCAAGAAATGTGTGGTAAGTCTGATCTTTCAAGCAATGAGGCATGGGCATTATTTACAGGGGAATGAGGCATTGTAACCACCGCCAACACATCAAGCAGCAAATAAAAAATTTTGCACGCCCCTACTATGTGGGACTTGGTTGGTCTTGGTGCACAGATGTAGCTTTACGCATGTTGAACCCAAAGTTACGCCCTTGGGTTTAGGTATAGTGTTCATGAAGCACCATAAATGCTATACCTAAAGTTATCGATCTGTCTTCTGTGTCCGGGCCGGGTGAGGTTTCCCATGTTGGTATAGTTATTCTTTTAAATGTTGCAAGCAAACATCTTTGTTTCTAAGCCAGAAGCAAACTGCCTGTAACTTTGGCTTTAAAGCCTTTTTAATATAAGTAATCTGATCTTTCCTTTCTTGTTTATAGAACTAATGCACAACAGATGAACTTAAAACAAATTTTGTCTGTTATTAAGATTATTATCGATGTTATTTTCCCACCTGTCTGGACATCGTTTTGAAAATGAAGGGGCAAAATGTTGTTGGCAGCATTATTGACCTCTAATTACTTATGAAAAACTATTATAGAGCCTTAAGTCAGAAGGTCAAAAAGTAATATCTGTTACCAAAATGTGATATTTCCCTTCCCGTTCTCTCTTTAGAAACCACTGCCTCCAAAGAGTGACGTGTTTGATGCTGACTCGGAAAGTGACAGCGACAAAGACCGACCAACAGAGGCACCCGTCAAGAAGAAAAAGAAGAAGAAAGTCCGGGAAGAGGAGGAGGAAGAAGAATCGCATCTTAAGGAAAAAAAGAAAAAGAAGAAGGACAAGCGGAAAGAAGAGTTTAGGCCCCTACCGGCACCAGAAACCGATGAGGAAGAAGGCAGAGCCCCAACCCCAAGCTCTCCACCCAAGGAGAGAAAGACTGAATCAAAAAAACGTGTGGTTGAATCAGAAGAGGAAGAGGATGACCCTGTTCCCTCCAAGAAACACAGGAAGGAAAAGGGAAAAGAGGGAGGGAAGCATAAAAAAGAAAAGGGCGACGATGGGAGGAAAAAGAAGGGGAAGAAAGAGAGGAAGATCGAAACCTCTGAAGATGAGGCCGCTGCTCCACTGGAAGATGACGTGAGCGAAGGCCCGTCAGAGTCCCAAATGGACGATTCCGCATCAACTGAGACTTTAACAAAATCGGTGGAAAAAGCAAGTTTGGACGACAAGTCCAGACAAAAAAAGGGGAAGTGGGAAGTAAAGCTGCAGGGTATAAAGGACCTTATCCACGACAAAAAGAACAAAAAGACCGATTCTACTCAGAAAGAAAGCAGCCTCCAAAAACTGAAGAGTCATAGCTCTAAAGCAAAAGAGGACACTGCGCTACAATCAGACTCCAGTGACAACTCCACCCTACATAAGAAAGCAAAGAGCAAAGGGCAGGAGAGCGCGTCTGCACCACCCAAAGTCCCATCTACATCGTCCTCGTCGTCCTCGTCCTCTGTTACAGCTGTTGGTGTCACCAAGAGTAAGGAGGAGGAGGTTACCAAGGACGAGATATTGGGACAGAAGGACACCACAGGTTCGACTAACCTTTTCGAAAAGTTCCTGTTAAACTGCGAGGCCAAGGATCGCGCCCCCCGCAGGAATCAACCCACCACAGAGAAGAGCAGCAGCAAACCCACAAAGGTGTATACTTTATTTCTATTTTAACTTTGTCATCCAGTATTTCATAAATGGAACCAAAAAAACACACAATGTGATCTTTCAGATGATGTTCTTTGCTATTTTAAACAGGATATGCTGCTCAGAGGTTTTCCTCTAAAAAAGAAATGCAGCGTGTTAACAGTTTGTTGTTGTTGTGTTTTGTCCCAACACTTAGGTATTGGGAAAAATTGAGAAGATTCCCAAAACAACCAAAGAGTCTCCTGTTCAGAAACAAGAGCCGGAGAAGACGGAGAGGCCCAAGCAATCAGATGGTATGCATGAAACTTGAACTTAAATCAGATTAACACAATGTGGCTTCAGACAAATCCCGCTGGGCATAAAGGAGGAAAAAATACTAGTTGCTATTCGGCCTCCAAAAATTGACCTTAAAGGGCCAAGGAGGTTACTGCCCTACAATAAAACTCTAATAACAGCTCTGTCTTCCAGAGGCCTGTGAGGGTTTAACCCAAATAGATGGTTAATTTTTATACCAGGGTATAAAATACCACCATATACCAATCAGTCAGTTCTCCAGAAAATGGTGTCACCATTCCTGCGAGATCGCTGAGACCCCAGTGCACAGATAGTGATCATAGTCTAAAACTTTGTAAGAGCACCTAAAGCGTTTGTCTTTCCCTGATGAGCATTAGTGACTAATATAGATTCTTAGAGGCAGCTTTATTCTTTTTCTGTTTGCTGCAAGCAACCAAAAAAAGAGGGGAGATTTATGCAAGCACTGCTCTCAGACCATTAAATGCCACCATACTGCAAGATGTCTGTGAAGGTTCTCAGTCATCCAGGTCATCGTAGTCAAAGGAGCTTGCAAAGAAAAGCGTCTGGACTTCTTTAAGTTACTTGAAGACGTTTCACCTCTCACAGCTGTGATACTCTGTTAAGTTACAAAGTCAGCATTTTTGCTAGCTTTTTTTTTTCTCCTGCCTTCAAATAAGCTAAACTTCAATCAATATATATATATATCAATATAGTAGCTCCAGTCTTTTCAGGTCTTTGTGACCAAAGCACCTTCAAACAGCGCTTTTAATACTAAACTGCTCCCTTCAAACACACCTCTTATTTATCTACAGCAGCTGTGTTGCTTTCAGTCTCTATTCTGTGTCTCACCTCTTGATATTTTCTAATATTATGTTTTTATAATTCCTTTGTAAACCCAGCCGCTCTGCTATCAGCAGGCTAATTCGATGCTTGTCATTGGTCCTGTTGTGCCAACAGCTCCACTTTTATGTGAACATGCTTATAGCCATATTAGGAATCCCCATCGAGTGAATTCTTAGTGGGATTGCTGATCTTCCTGTTAGTGAAGCCAGATGAGGAAAATAGATCCTGAATATGTTAAACTTGCTTCATAGTACATGCCCCAGATGAGAGCAGATCACAGAAATGTAAACCTAGAGCTATAATAGACTATAGTGTGTGAAAACAAAGTCTACATGTCTTTGCATCTTTAATCCCTTCCTGCCCGAGTGTTTTATGCCAGGGTGTAGTTTGCCTTTTAATGAACGCAAATAACTGTGCTGTATAAATGGTCATCATAGAAAAAGGGTTTAAATTAGCAGTATTTTGTAATTAAAAAGTATCATCCAGCACCTCCTTGTATTGTAAAAAGATTTAAAGTAAATGTAACACATTGCTGCATGTCAGGAGCATAACGTGCAGCATTAGAAACGTCTTTTCTTTAAAATCAGATGTGTTGGTCAAATATTTGATCTGTCAAACAATCAAAAGTTATTATTTTATTTATTATTGTGTATTTTATATAGTTCGTCTGCTGACCAGCTCTCTAATTCTGAAGACAAAATGTGTCAGGAATGTGTGTCGCAGTGATTGACAGGAATCTCAGGACTTGGTGACGATCAGAGTAATCACAAATAGCTTACAAATAGCTTACAAATAGCTATGTTTAGCTCATTTATTATTAGTATTTTTTAATTAAATGTGACAGACTGTAGTTCTTTGTTAGCAAACTTGCATAAAACCAGGAACTGCAACAAGAGCATTTGAGTGCGTATACACAAACGCACACACTCTCCATGTTTGCACGTTTTTATTCTTTAAATTGACATGTATGGGCTTCCCTGAGATCTCAAACCTTTTTTTCTTCTATTCCAACATGTGGCCAGGGCTATAAGTGAGTATTAGGTCTACTCCTAATAGGAACAATAAAAGAGCAAGCTGGGGTTTTTTTATGTCTTAGATTTTTATGACATGTTGTTCAAAAAGTATTTTTTTATCTTGTCTGCCACCCTCAATGTCAGTTTTGCGACCAGTTCAGAGTTATGGCTTCAGCCTGGACACCGAGGAGCGGGAAGAGGAATCTTTGGCAAAATCGAAGCCTGGAGATGATACCCGGGAGCGTAGGGATAAGACAGATGAACCACAGCGGCAAAGCTGGGAGCGGAGAACCCCTTCTGATGACAGGAGAAAGAAAAGGGAGGACAGTGAGCCTAGACTCTTTATGGCATGTGATGATACCCAGGACCCACCAGAGGGCACTGACAAATCTGGTATGTTTCTGATTGGCTAAACAAATGCCTCCAAATATGACATTCACACTTCACTTGTCAAATGCATTGATTTTAGATTTATTAGAGTGAAATCCCAGTTGATGATCTCTGCATTGTGTGTTTTACAGACAAGGGCCAGGCCACTTTGAGTCTAGGAATGGACCTTAATCTGGACTGGATGACTCTGGATGATTTCCAAAAACATCTTAACGGAGAGGATGAGATCTTGTCAGGTCCACCTTTGTCACCAAGTGAGTGTTTCCTTATGACTATCTTGGTATTTAGAAGACTTTTGCTTTTAGTTGCAACAAGCCATGAGAAAACCACAACTTGTTTACCATCCAAATTATTCGTACTGAGTGCAGTTTACCAAAAACATGGAGAAAAACGGTTTTATGTCCGTGAATGTAATAAAAAGAATTCTGTGTCCACAGTAGGTCACATCATTTTTTTTAAGGAGGATCTATGAGATTTGAATAAATAGGCATTTAAAAAAAAAAAAAAAATTAAATGAGCATGAGATCTATAAATGTCCACTTTCTCTAAACTTCATTTGTTCCTCACCTGTTTTTGTCAGATGAGTTGCGAGATGCTGTAAAAAGTGGAGATTACATGGCTGTGAAACTGGCACTTAATTCCAAAGAGGACTACAATCTGGACCAAGAGGTATGTCCTAATAAACATTACCCAGCTGTCTGTTTTATTTCCTCGCTAATTTCTACCCTACTTCAATATATTTTTGATTTTTATATATCTCAAGACTCTGAGCACTCAAATCTAAGACACAAACACATTTTAAAGAATTCCACAGCTTGCACCTTGGTTGGCCCCAAGAGTGAGTGTGTGCGTGTGTGTTTTGAAGGGATTGCATTGTTATTAAAATATATATGAATTCAGTTGGTGACTATGGTCTATCACGCTATGTCTGTCACATATGACACTTATAGACATTAATATTTTCCCCTATAGTTCCCCCAGTTACAAATGCATAATTAGCATTGCATCTGAATTACATTTGGTTTTACGAAAGAAGAACCATTGTTTTAAACAAATGGAAAATGGAAAACATTAGGCATAACCATCGTTAAAAGCATATTTGACACTTTAAACAGTGTTTAACACATAAACTAATATTAGCTTTGTTGAGCACTGTCTTTACCCTTCTTACAAAAATATCAAAAAGATGTTTATTATGACATAAAACTGCTACTTATAAACTAACAATTTTCCCTGTCTGTTACAATAATAAGTTTGTATCCAATATTTCAAATGTTTTAGTAAATCAGCAGTAAAAGAAAATATTGATGAGAAAACGTGAAAAAAAAAAAAAAAATCGCTTATCCCAACGCGTCTGAAGCATCCTAATGAGAAAACTATACGTCGCTTTTAGATGGAAGAACAATTTTGTTTTTTGTGTTGTGCTCCAAGTAATCTTTTCTTCAAGATCCGCATCCAAAGACTTTACTTTTTAATGTCCACCAATGATCCAACTCCTTGAGGTGTTTTCTTGAACTCCAAGCACCTTCTGCAACAAAGCCAGGTAAGGATGTGGTCTCAAATGCTGTTAAACATAAATATGACTTGTTAGAAATGCTAGTGTAATACTATAAAGTATAATATAAAAGTTTTCTTATATAGCAGAACCTACACTGTTGTAATTAGTAGGGTTTTAAAGCTGAATTATACTTGTGTAGCTTTGAGTTACAGAGCCTTGTTATGTACTTTCAGACTGAACTATAGTATTACAGTAGAAAGAATATGGCAGAGGTGGATGTGATTAAATTAACTCTTATTCCTGGGTATTTTCAGCAAGTTCAGGAGCATTTTTATTTAATTTACCATCTTAATTCAAGGCTCAGTAGGACAGAGAGCCATTATAAGTGTATATAAATTATTGTTATTGCTAATGAAGTTGTATTTTATGTGGTTAAAATCTCGATGCATGCAATCCTATCTACCACCACCCTGCACTATTTTGAATTCTAAAATGGATCTTTAAATTTGTGCTAACTTAGACCTAACAGTCATTAATTGCTATGTAAATTGTAATGTGTGCACCTTAGAGACTGTGATATCACTTTACATTGCAGTGAACAAGCCAGTGATTGAAGACACCGAAGACATGAAGCACTTGGACAAGATGAACTCTTTGAATCAGGTACATAATGTATGCTTTCAGAATATGTATCATCATCATTACCATAACACAATATGCGCAGCATGCACCTGTAGCCACCGTTTATTACATTTTCTTTTAAATCAAACATTTGAAAGCATAAATGACAAAATTCATAGTGACTGTTATTATGTGAATGGCTGGACATGGTATTAACATATTTTACTTTGTACCTGGCCTGGTTCTGAAGCCATGATGTGTTATATTACGAGTGAGCTCTGTAAAAATACTGGTATGCCCAGCAAAAATTTATCTTTAATTATTTGTTTATTTCAAACCAGGGATGTAGGTCTAGTGTCAGTGCACATTCTGTTTTCTTCATGTAGCATTTCATCAAACACCCCATTACTACATATACTTGGTTAGATATTTATGATGTCGAAACGCTGCTTGATCCAATAAAGCCATTAACTATACTTGAATGGGTCACATGTGGTTTTTGTACGTGAGACTTGAGGTGTCAGGAGGGAGTTTTGTTACTAAACCTTGGGCCATCATATTGACTCGTTTGAATGGGCCTGGATCTTGGTTGGGGGCATTGCCGTGGTGCTGATGTGCTGAAACAGGAGTAAAAACATATATGATTGATTAAAAAAAACATCAGAACCATTTATCTACCAAAATTAAAAACAAATTTAAGCATCCCCTTCTACATTTTTTCCAAGAGTCTGTGTTTCAAATTTACCAAAATTATTCATGGGATCTGATTTGGCTCTGAGTCTTACGTATACTTGTTCTTTTACAGGCGAGTACTATTGGTGAGAAGAAGTCATTTGAAGGAGAGAGGAACTTGATTGAAGAGAGAAGTTCGAGTGATGCTCTTAGATTGACTTCTAACACTGAAAGTGCAAGAAACGAAGCAGGCACTGCAAAAGAGAATATCCCACAAGATTTGGATGATCAAAAAAATGATAAGGATATTACTGAATCAGAAAACGCAGCATTCGGTTCACCTACCAAGCAGAAAAGTCGAGGAAAGGAAGACCAAAAGGATGGAGAAGACAACGAGACGTCAGATGACACAATGGGTGGTTTGTCAAGTAAAATTAGTTTGAATTTTGATCATTCGGATCAAGTGCTGTCAAATAAACAAAACCTCCTAAAGCAAACAAATGACTCAGGCGACGAGCCAGGAGATGTAGGGGCAGGTATTACAGATATGGTTCTATCTGCATCAAGTACGAAAGAAATGGTTAAAAGATTACGGCGCTGCACAAAAACTGTGGAAAAGAGAGAACCAACAAGATCAAGTCTAAGGACTTGTAAGAAATTGCATCAAATGACACCTTGCGTATTGGATGAAGAGAAGAAAGAGTCATGCAAGAAACATTTCTGTTTATACTGCAAAATGGCTTTCACTCAACTTGCAAAGCATTTGGAAAGGAAACATGCGGAGGAAACGGATGTTGCCCATGCAATACACTTTCCAAAAGGCTCCAAAGTCAGACAGACATTGCTTGATCAAATTCGCAATAGAGGAGATTATGAACATAATTGCCAAGTTCTTAAAAGTGGCGAGGGGGAAATTGTGACCAAGAAACAGGTCAAGAAACCCAGTGTATCAGTTCGTGACTTCTTACCTTGTCAACATTGTTTTGCATTTTATCGCAAAACTGATTTATGGAGACACGAAAGGTCATGTAAAGCTAGAAAAGGAGACGAGAAATCTTCTGAGAAAACAAAAAGAACGAGAGGTCACAGTGCTGCCTCCCGGCTGCTTCCAATGTCAGAGTTCTTAACTGGAGGCTGTGAGGAAATCATCCACATCATGCATCAAGATGACATCTCGAGGCATATCAGAAACGACCCGCTTATTTGTAAATATGGCAATGCATTGTCTGTTAAATATGAGCATGACAAGTCTCAGTTTGCTTACATTGCACAAAAAATGAGGGAACTGGGTAGATTTGTGCTTGCCGTAAATGAGCTGGACAGGAGTGTAAAGTACTTGCATGAAATATGTCTGCCATCCCGATTTGAATTAGCTGTTCAAGGGGTCAAAAGGATTAGTGGATTTGACCCCAGTTCCAGTAAGTTTAAAAGCATTTCCCTTGTCACGAAGATTGGATACTCTTTGAAACGAGCTGCAGAAATTGCGTTTGGTGAGAGTCGCATGACGGAGGACAGTGAATCAGAAAACGAAGTGAAAAAATTCATACAACTTCTTGATACAAAATGGAATGAGTGTTTTTCTCGCAAAACACTTGCCTCCTCTCTAAAGCAAGAAGTCAAGAAAGTGGAAGTGGACAAATCAACTGTGACAGAAGACTTGATGAAACTTCACAGGTTTATCACAGAGGAAGGAGACGAAACAAGAAAGGAGCTGAAAGAAAGTCCTAGTTTGTCAACGTGGAAAAAGCTCAGTGAAGCAACTTTAGCCGATGTCTGTCTGTTCAACAGAGGAAGGGTAGGAAATATTGGTAGACTGCTTTTGCAAACTTACATTCAGAGAAAGAGCAAAGGAATATTTGTGCCCTCTGCAGATCAAATAAGGAAAAGCACAAAATTGGAGCTAGAACTTGGTTCCGCTTTGACCAGGTTGGAATTAGAAGGTCAGTATGGAAGGAACATGCTGGTTCTTTTAACAGAACGCATGGTTTTGTCTATTGACTTGCTTGTTGAAAATAGAGAACGAGCAGGTGTGTCAAAAACAAACCCATACCTTTTTGCACGGACTGAAGGTCCATCCTTCATCCGAGCGTTGGATTGTTTCCGACGGGTTGCAATGGAATGTGGAGTTAAAAACCCAGAAGCACTTCTTTCCTCGTCATTAAGAGAGCAAATTGCCAGCTCCTGGCAGTTAATGAGCCTTAATGAATATGAACTGGATCAAGTGGCCAACTTGTTGGGAAAGAGCAGCCAGGAGTGTTACAGACTCTTAAAAAACGCATCCCAGCTAGAAGAAGTGAGCAAACAGCTGCTCAAGATGGATCGAACGCTTCCATCACTTCCAGTCAGCAGTGCAAAAGATGGTAAGTACCTTTTTGTTCTATCAAAATATAGCTGATAGCTGCTCTCTGAGTCAATTTACTTTGTTCTTGACCTTTGTACAGGGTAGGCCATTTATATAGATACACTGTAATAAAATGGGAATGGTTGCTGATATTAAAGTCCTGTTTGTGGCACATTAGTATATGTGAGGGGGCATACTCCTCAAGATGGGTGGTGACCATGGTGGCCATTTAGAAGTCGGCCATCTTGGATACAACTTTTGTTTTTTCAATAGGAAGGAGGGCCATGTGACACATCAAACTTATTGGTAATGTCACAAGAAAAACAATGGTGTGCTTGGTTTCAACGTAACTTTATTCTTTCATGAGTTATTTACAAGTTTCTGACCACTTAT